TTGCTTTCTTGAGAGACTTTGGAAGTTTTTGCTTCACTTGACTCCAAAGTCTCATATACTGCGCTTGTTTGTCCAAAAATCTACATTTTTCCTGATGTGTATTTAGGTTAAAGAAGAAAAATTAATTCACTCCATTTCAATTGCAGTGTTCGATTTTCTTAACGCTTTAATTCAAAGGATCTGATTGCATCGTAATTATTGTGACAATTGAGATTTCGGTTTTGAATTTTAATTGATCGAATCAGAACAAAAATAATATTAACTATTTAACATAAGAAATATAAAACACAAGTGAAATTACTTCAATTCAAGCTTGGCGTCTTTCGAACGAATGCTCGAATGAATTTCAATATTTGTGCGACTATTTGTGTAGACCTGCTGTCGCTTTTTGACAAATATATCGTTTTTCTTTAACGCCGAACACTGAAAATTTACTTTATTTTGTAAGACTGCAATCATACGAGTTAGCTTTGAAGCGATTCTCAACATTTTCTCGTGAAGAACTAATAGAGTGAAGACTAACTAAAAAAATAATATAAAAAATATCCGGATATAACTTTTTGTTAGATAAAATGATTTACCAAAAAAATTTGCACTACACCAATTTACGTATATCGTTTATCAAAAGGGCGTCTAGCAATTGCTTGGCCCAGTTTTTTGAGCCTTGATAGCACATATTCGAACACTCTGCAGATTCGTAATTTACTTGAAAAAGTTAGGTAGATTCATTGCTAAAAAATCTTGCTGTTATAATTTAATTCATAAAGAAACTTTTCAATATCCACTTATACAACAAATCATGTCTCGCCGCAGTATGAAGTTAACGCAAAAATATTTAACTCCTCACTTAACATATCTAAAACAGAGTTGTTTTTAGACCAAAACAAATTGGTTGTTTAGCCGAATAGCTAACTGAGTATTTTATAACTCCAATAACTGTTCGATTTAGTTTCAGGATAGTGACTGTCCTAAGCTAGTTAGTTACCAAAGACACGACACAAACCAATTCACGTAGGGAATCCCTATAGTTACTCTACTCGCAGTCCAATTTACTTCCTATTTAATTAAAGTAGCGTCTCGGGAGGATAGAAGGTGAAATGGGGGTAGAGAAGGGAGAAGATAGGCCAGTCAAGGGCAATTTCTCCGGGACGAATCCCAACAAGCTGAATTTTTCATGTAGGCGAAATTAAAGTGTCTGAAATAATTTGTTATTTTTTGACGGTTTCGTATATATACTACTTGAGCAGGATTTGATTTCGTGTCATCAATTTACCCCTCAAGGCTATTAAAAGAAATAGCTCGGTTGAAGCCAGCTTCGATGTGGGTGTCCAACAGCAATTACACGATAGAGGTCGTTATGTAAAGGGTGTGTATAGGATATCTATATCAGAATAAAATATTGACTCCTGTCCTTTTTTCAAAGCCAAAACTGCGTCAGTAACATTTTTTTAAACTTATGCAATATCAGTTTATGTGTTGTTGATTCTTATTCAATGATACCTAGTTTGGTTCAGTTCGTCAACGCCTATAAAGAGTACGCATATTTCGTATACATAATTTCAACTGCAAAATAAAGGGGGAAACGGAATACTGTGAAACATACGTGGAAATCTGAAGACACAAGAACGTATCTAAATAACTTTACGGCTTTAACTCTGCTTTCACATTTGAAACGTTTAAAAAAATGAAAGTATTCAATTCCTAATGTCACTTTCGGTCAACTTATTTTTTGTTTTTTGCAAATGCAAAACAAAGCAAATGCAAATAAGTTTTTTGCAAATGCAAAAAACATCAGGTTTAAAGATTAGCAAAATATTGAATTAATCTTTAAGCAAGTTATAAGCAGCATATTAGATTATTCTTTATTCTTGATGAATATGTATGTTCAGTTGTATTTTCTGGGATTTACTAGCAAACAAAAACTGTTAAACTACAAAATCCAATAAATCAACAGAGTTAGGCTCTTGTGACCATTGCTTAACTCTGGTAGTTTTTGCGACCTTTAAGCCACAGTTAAAAATAATTTCTTTCTGACATTTTGAAAACATTAGTATTTTGATTAAAATTTTACCCTATTTAAGAATCACTCTAGTGTGAGTTTTGGAACGGAAAACAATAAAAATAATAAAAAGTAAATCTACGGAAAATGTCTATAGGACAGGCATTTTAGTTGAAATTCAACAGTTAAATAATAATAAATAGTTAAATTAAATAAAAATGAAAATAAATAATTCATTGCAATTGAATAATGCACATTTCCATTATTGAAAATCAAATGGCAGTCTGGACAGAATTATTCGGAAGTTTCCAACAAATTGCAATTCTAATAAATCCTATTCAGGTCAATTATTTTAAATTATTGGACAAAATTTATGAAAAGGGACAGATTAAGATTTTATTAAACTCAGTCTACTGAGTTTTTGACTGAGACTTGAGATATTAGATTTTATAAAATATGTTTAATATTTTTCAAAATGTTATGAAAAATTCAAACAAACACCCACATTTTCGAAACAATGCCATACATTTTTTTACCAGAATGCATACAAATCCATATTTTGATAAAAAATATATCGCGTTCAAAGCTAGCTCCCCAAGCTTTCTGCTGCGTTCGTGTTTTTGCCCTAAAAAGTTAAACGTAGGCAATAGCTATAATAGGTCGCGTTTATCGACATACATAATTAATTCAGACTTGCCGGGACTCGAGTTTGTTTCATAAAAAATTACTCCTTACATGGCCTAAAAAAGAGATCTCGGCCAAGGTGGGTGCGAAGTCCGAGATATAAAACGGACAAGGTCGTTAGCGAGTTTGATTTATTCTTGAACTAACCCTTATCCTTATTTGATTACTTATTTGAAAGATACGTACTCGAACTTTTCCATTTATTTATTTTTTTTTTCGTCAAAAGCAAACTAAATCAAAATATTCAGGAATAAACTAATTATTCCATTTTTATGAGTGACAAAATATAGTTTTTTGTCTGGTTTTGGTTGATATAATGGTGACATTTTAGAACCGTATTGCTGCGGCTATTAGAAGCAACAGTTTCCAATATGTTTCGTTATTGTCTAGGGTTATCGAGCTACACATGGAACCTTTTGTAGCCTAAGCTTGGATGCTAAGCTACAAAGTTGTTTGGTGGATAATGTTAGGACGTAAACATGCCAAATTTTTTTCAGTTTCTATATACAAATACATTGTTAGCATATTTGTACCTGACGACCTTATGGAAAAAGAAAACCCTCTTTAATGGTAACAACAGCCGGTGGAGGCATGGACAGATTGACGCTCCGTTTGAAGAAAAACGTGAGCAATTCGGAGTCTCTGATTCAGACGCTTTGCTAAATTCTCTCACAAAATTTAATAAGTTCAAAGTATTTCCAAATATCGATGAAAGATATTTTGCATGGTCGTTACTGATCATAACAAAACACTAGGATAAAGACCAACACTTCAAGAAGCTATTAGAAGGCGCCTACAGGACAGTTAGACGAAAATACTTCAGCAAATTTGTTAATTTATCAGTAGTTACTTCTGATAATTAGAATCCGATCAATATTTCGAATACATATATTGGAATATCTGGGGCAAATCATGAGCAATGAAACCAAATACAAACTATTGAAATGCATCTTACAGGGTAAAGTGCAGGGCAAAAGAAGCGTTGGAAGAAGGCAAATATCCTGGCTGAAGAACTTGAGAACCTGGTTTGAAACATCCACCACGGGACTATTCAGAGCAGCAACAAATAAAATTATCATTGCTAGAATGATTTCCAACATTCACGAATAGGCTCTAGAACAAGAAGAAATATTTCGATGCTACCATCGCTAAAGAATTACAATTCGATTAACATTGTAAAATCGTAAAATACTTAATTATTTTACTTTAATTAATTATTAAATTAATTAAAACTAAAACCGGTATTTATGGACGAGCTATAAAAAGTGGTTGGAACCATGGAAGTACTGAAGCCGTAAATACTAGTTAGTAAAGTAAAGCTAATATTATTTTAAATAAAACTTTTTTAAAGTTTTTAGTTTAAATTAAATAAAACACAACAAATAGTTTCGTCATGTTTTCAAATACCTACGAACACATGAATTGATCGCACTAGGAATATTTTGTGGCACTCATACAGTCGAAATGACTTGAAATAATTGAGGTACCTCCTTTTGAAAGCTTAATTCTCGATAACCTAGGCGACTTAAGCATGTATGTATTTAGAAGTTGTTTGCTTAAAATCCACCGCAGCAATGCTTATCTTATATGTTGTCAAAATGTCACCCAGCATTCTAGATAAAGATCACAGGAAGTTTTATATTGTTATGTAAATTACGCAGGACATTTGCATGTATCTTTCAAGATTTAAGCAAATAAGAACAAGTCTTAGAATGTTCGACCGGTAGGCTGCACGACTTCCGTTCATGTATACAACTAAAATTAAATGTCTCGAGAGTTATTGCTAATTTATTTCCCAATTTCATTCTATTCCAAGTTTCAAAAGTCAAGCACTTTCGTATCCATTGTCATTGTTGAAAAATGCTTGACATTGAATATATAGTTTAAGAAATGAAAACAGCTAAATAAATTGCACCCGAGTGAATAAATCTCAGTGAGAGGTGATCAAACTGCTGGCTGGTGCCCTTCCACTTTACAGTACCATTTTTCGATTGATGTGGTGCATTTGCAATATTAGTTACACGTATTCCCATCTATTTAGTAATGAAACTAATTATACAGCAACATAATGCATATGCAACTTGTAAAATAGCTTTAACGTGCTAACAGATTGGCAGACACAAACTTAATTTTGCATGATTCAAAAGCAGTTTACTTTTATGATTAATTAATTCAATTATGTATTGAAAACTAAGTAAGGACTTGGTTGTAATATTGCAATACACCACAGTCAGATAAGATACATGTGAGATACTGTAACAGTTTCGCTATAAGCACCTATGTTAGTTTAAGTAGCAAAGTAAGATGTTAAACTTACCTTTCAGTATATTCGTCCATATGAGCGTAGGATTGAACAGAGTTTTCTTCTATTAAAAACTTTACTCTTTGGTAGAAAGAGGCGGTAACAGAAGGTGGTTGTTTCCTCAGCAAAACCTCCACTGGGTCATTGCTTGAGATACACATGATGTGATCTGAGCAGCCAGGGTGTGAACAGCATTCACTGTCTGAACAATCTACCATTCCATCTGTAGCGACAAAAATATAAAACTATTTTAGCCAGTTTACACATATTCCCAATTCGTTTAAAGCTCAAGCATTAACGGTTGAATATTTGTCTGCGAGTGTTGAGGATTAATGTTTGCACCCCTGCCAAGTAAATGTAAACAGGACGCTCAGTAATCAATAATACTTCCGTTTATAGAAAATTGCTGTGACAGAAGATAGCGGGTCTAACATTAAGAAATGGGTAGGGTTAAATGAATTTTATGTCTACGGTTTTTACGAAAATGTCCACTAATTACAATAAATTGAACAGAATATTTTCGACAACCAACCTTATTTGCTCAGAATCAAATCAAGCAAACCTGCGGAAATTAAAATACAAAGGGGAGCAAAATACTTGCTATAAAATTACCTTAAAGGGTTTTCAATTAAAACATTATCGAGTATTTTAATAATGTCTTAGAATTTCTCATATTAATTTTTGTTCTTATAATATTACCATACACTCCTGTCTTGGATATTCGATGCGAGCAATTCAAGCCAACTCCTATTTTGATACTGAAAAAGATAGTCCAAAATGATAATATAATACGTGAATCTTTGTAATATTGCCTATATGCTCTCTTGCATTAACTTTTGTATAGATTGCAGACAGAACGCAATAATTATATTGTGTAGTTTTTTTAATTACCTTACTATTGCATTAGATAATTTTTAGATTTTGGGAAAATTGCCCAAGGTTTCGTTGAACAAATCGCAAATTCCGCTTTTATGCAACAAGATTGTACTCTCACTTAAAAAATTGTTCGAACCAGTTTTTCAGGGATATTCTACGGATTTCTGGCGTAGATGCATTTGATTAAAAGTTAGCCAATGGGCTATGTACAAATAAAACTATAATGCATTCGATCATATTGAAACAAGAAATGTATATTGATCGGCGCCATATCAATGAGTAATTTTTACTTCAATCTTACTCGTTAAGTTGTAATGACGCTGGAATTTATTTACGACACAATTGTATTCTCTTACGTGAATATATGCTCGGAGAAAATAGAGCGTCCGCATGGTTGAGATCACTTTTCTATTCTCTCATCATGCACTGTGTAATGCGAAAAATTTTCATTTCGAATCAATTATATTCAAGCTACGGGACAGAACTGCACGTTTTTTACTTATACTTTAAAGATTTAGACTTTAACACCAATCATACATAAGAAACAGAGAATATCATAAATCACACATTTGTCAACATGCATTTGATAATTGCCATAAAATTCAATGGAATAATTCCACAATTTTATCAAAAAAACAATCCACAAAAAAACGTAAAATTAAAGAAAGCGCACTAATTTTACTAAATCAAAATAATTGTGTTGCTTCATGTTCATTTAATTTAAGTCATACATGGTTACCTATGCTAAAATCTGAAGTAGACCAGAGAAACATGCACCCAAATTAAATTTACACCAAAATTATTAATTAACATTACCGTTATTAATTTAAACAATGAGATTAAGTCAAAGTCACATAACTGACAATTTGCACAGACGAATTATCCGAGCGAATTTTCATATATTGTATTATCCCACTATTGTTACACAATTTATTAACATACTCTTTTTTAGGTTCATTTAAGTTCTTTTGATAACGATAGCAGAAAATAGCTATCGAAACGTCAAGGTAATTTTTCAAATTAATTTCTCTACTAATTGGAATTTTCTCTTACAGCTTGAGCCTAAGTGTGTCGCAGGATACCCTCTAGGTGATAGTTCTTGATTACGTTTTGATAAATAATTCGTTCTTATTGCGAAATAGGAGCACTATTTATCAATCTGTAATAAAAGACGTGAGGAAATTCTGTCTTTTTTAAAGACAAAAATTTTTGAGGCGAAATACCCAAAAAGAAGTTTGTAAAAAATTTGTTCAGTACTGTCACGTCGGTGCATATTTTGTTCTTATTGGAGAGAGGGTAGTCTATTTCGTTTTTAGTCTTTCCGTCCGGGCCGTTCCAGGTCTATTTACGTTGATGGGAAAAAATATGTTTTCGTTGTTGAAGTAGCTGTACAGCATCTCCCACTTCTCGTTTCTGTCACCAAGAAAATAGCGTTTTTATCAGGCTCTGTGTTCTCTGAGTAGTTCGAAATATTGATTTAATTTGTCCGGAGGGATTATGTCTGATGGATAGACCATATCAATTTTTCATATTTTCCTTAGTTTAATGATCATCTTTTGTTTAAACTTTGACGAGCGTGAAATATATTCCACCCGGTCCAAAAGCTTTGAGCTTTTAAGAAAATTAATTGCATGCTTTTATTCGACCGTGGGTATGTAGAATCAGTCAGAAATATCTATACTGTTCAGTATCCTACCGTTCACGTCGGAAAACAATCCATATAGACACACGATTGTTATACTTTATCACTACCGCCAAGAATTATCTTTGATTGTCTGTTCAATACCGAGGTGACGAAGCTCGCACACACCGAAAAGTTTTTTAATCATGAGGAAATATTAAAACTGCCGTATTTATCAAGCTACTACAAAATTCACTGTTCATCAAGCTCCTTTACAACATCCATCACATTAAGAATTTCATCAGTTCAGTCATCTGACGCCATATGTTTATTCTGCGTGGTTTATCGTCCACACCAAAATAAATGTTAGCATTGATCATTGTAGAGGAAGTAGTATCTAGTGCTACCAGTGAGAAACAACTTTTTTGCATTACTAAAGGACCGGGAATCACAGTAAAAAACAATTAATTTTATGAACTCTCCAAAAAATACCCTGTCGCTACCAGTGTAGATCAGACAAGATCCCAGTTAGGTGTTTCTTAAGGGATCGAGTTAGAAAACAATAATTTACGCACATTTGCTACGCCGACGACACATATGCAATATCGGATAATGAGGACAATCTGCGTAGGAAGTCATAGATTTAAACAGCCTTAATGACAATAAATATAATCATATTGTGACAGAAAACACAATTCTTGACAGTATTTGGAAAACACAGAAGCTGTAAATTGGTAATCTGTAATAAAAGCGGCGAGCAGGTTCGTGTTTGTCTAGCAGTTAAATTTCATAGGAACGCCAAAGACGAAATAAAACCGTAAACAACAGCAGCATGGATATTGGGATTGCTCCAAAATTTGATATGGAGGAATAAATTCTTAAGTGTTGAAAGGAAACCACGAATGTATAAATCTTGTATTTGGCGATTATCACAAACACCGTACGCCATAGAAACGAGATTTGATACTACGTCTAATAGAATTCGTTTAAGAACCACTGAAACTACGAAATTATGTTCAATTGTACGTAAGATGCTCAGAGGTCAAGTATGAGGAATTGATATCAGAACAAAATCTAGCAACGCAGATGGGCCAGGACCTGAAGAGGATCTTGAAAAAATCTACAGGATGGACAATGTTCGAGTTCTAAAAATCGCAGAGGAAGATAAACCGAATTACCACCTGCGAGACCATTTTAGTGCTAGCTTGAAAGTTGAAGATCCGCCAACTTATGCAGCTTCTGTGGACACATCGAGAAAGTCTTGAAAAAATAATGGAAAGAAGCCCAAGTCAAGTGCTAAGGCCGATATCCCTTTAAACTGGCCTTGACTTTAGGAGCAAATTTACACGTAATCCTCATATTTAAGATTATAATTGAATATATAACACTATAATTTTATATCTCATTACTAACTATAATCATAATAGTAATCTCCTATATTTTTTTACTAATGCTTAGGAAAATACATATCTATACATTACCGTGATCATTGTCCATATCGTCCTGACATTCCGCTTCTAAAGCGATGCTACAATCAAATCCAGCCCATCCATCGATACAAACACATTTGTAAAGCCCTTCCTCTAAAGTGCACTGCCCATGTCCCGAGCAGGCGTTTTCGCACCCAGCTGAAAATAAGCAAACAATATGAAATTGTGAAACAATGTCGAAATTAATTCAACGCTTTAATATCGCGCTTCATATAATCCGATCGTATTTGCAAATTAAGCGAACCGCAAGAAGTCTTACGTAATGCCGTTGCTACACCATACTTGGCCAAAAAAGATTCGCGAAGCTTTCAAACTTTCCTATTATGGAGGAATCAGAGCTCCAGTTTCATAATATCCCACACGACGTCAGAATATAAATTAGCAAAATGGAGGAAATATTTTGGAATAAAAACATCGCCTTGTAACATATGAAATAAGTTTCAAATAAGATCGTTTTATATTAGACTGGAATGTATAATTAGTAAAGCTACATCCAACCTGTATATTAGCAATAAGAAACTTTTTGGGGTCTTTATTTGCTGATTGTGTATTCATAGTTGTTTAAGTTTACTTCATGTATCATTATTAATACAGAATTAGTATTTGGCAAATATTAGTTAATTTGGAGCTCTGTTGCTGAGCTGAGCTATTCTTTATGATCATTTCTTGCCTTAAATAGCTGATGTATTTGCATTCTCGAATTTAAAGCGATGCAACATTTGGTGATGTGCTCACGCTGTTCATTTGCAATATTATCTGTTAGGTTGTATTTATGTTGACATATTCTAGATCATGATGCTACACTTAATTTAGCGCTTTTAATTAAAATTAGAAGCTACTTTACACCTCAAGTTTATTGAGTTTAGTTAGCGAAAAAACTTGTCTGAAAAAGGTACTTTTCAATAAATGGGTATCATTGATTCGTTGCCGTTGAAAAAATCTCTAAGTAATCGTTGCAAATTAATTTTAATGCCTGTCTTGCCAAGTTACTGAAAACCATTAAACCATTATTTGCAGTTTGCTGAGATAACGTTCACTGGAGTCAATGAAGTCAGTGGCGCACCACAAAACATTTCGGGGGCAGGACAGGCAGTCGTCTTACCTACCGTAGGTAAGGCTTCTGGTTGTGAACCGGGTAAACGGTCTAAATATTAGCCTACGTTAAAAATTTGAGCCAAATATCTCATAAACTGTAGGAGCTAAAGAGAAAATAACAAAACATGTATCTCGTTAACCATGAGCCTGAGAAAAAAAATGAAACCTCCACCACGTATAATAGTTAGTTATTGCTGGAGGATCAAAAAAGCAACAACTTTTGCCTTATTATCTACGATTGCAATTTGGTTAAAAAAGTTTATCATTATTTGTATGCGCACAGCTTTACCACATGAAATGCCTGCAAGAATGAAACTGTTTTGTGAACAGTACATACAGCAAAAAATGTCCATCAAAAACTCGACATTCTCTAGATTTCCTTCTTCATCAGGAGATCCTCAGATAATCCTAAATGTAACATGTCAAGAATAGCTGACTCTGATTAACTGCACTCTAATTTAAATGTATTTATAAAATTTATTCAGCAAAGGAAAGTTGCAGATATGGCAGAATTGCTTGCTACATTTGAAAAAGTAATTCTAACTAGCTGATTATTTCGTGTGGATCAATGTGTTTCGTTTCCTTGTGCATTTGAATATATCAACAATACATTGTTTCCGTAACGTTTTTCCCATGAAAAACTGTTTGTCTGATAAATTAGGAGATAATCTCGTTTACTAATGAGTTAAGGACAAACATTATGCTTTTGATTCTCAAATGTACATCAATTGAGTTACATTGCTCATTCCGCATTCAACTGGTTTAAATATAAACTTGCCTCGTTCAATTATGCTTAAATTGGCCGCCCATTATTACACTATTATAAGCCAGGTTTTTACTTTTCATTCTGCGTTCCGTCGAGTTTTCTAAAAGTTTTCTTGAATTATTTCGCCAATTAGTATTCTTATATCGTGCGAGCTATTATAAACCTTGGGGATTGAGCGTATCATAATGGGGAACTTTTAGAGCTCCGGAGTAACGTTTTTAGTAAACGTGGTGAAGCAATTTGTTAAGAAATATGATGTTTGGGTGTTAGGTCCCTCCGTGGGTATCAGAATTATGAGGAGCCAAAAATTAGAACTAATGGGCAATGCCAGCAGTAATTAAAATTTCTCGGGGAATGCTGTAGTGCTGAATTAAATGAAAACATATGTAAAAGTGTAAAAGTTATGGAGCTGAACGTCATTTGCTGTTTTCAAACAGAATTCAGGGCAAAAATAAAATGAAGCCCTCCATAAATCGAATAGGGAAAGAAACAGTTAAACCTAAATTATTTTAAAATTGGAATACATTACATTTTTGTCTATAATATAATCTTGTACAAGTGATAATCCGTAATTAAAGCCATTAGCTAAACTGCATTATTACATATAAACAACAAAACCCTTGAAATATATTTGTAGGAAGTTAAAAAAGCCAAGTTTTTGTCCTTATAACAGAGCAACAACAACAGACGCAATTGGAATAGCCTAGAAAAACGTCGGGTTGAAGTTCGCAATTGGAAGCCCCAAATTGATATTGGGCATTTTGAGTGTTAAATTCATACGGTAAACTAATACTTGGATAAAATATAAGGTTTCTCTGATATTCACTTCTTTCTGTTATCTAAACTGAATTTAAAATAAAATGTTCTCAAATTCAGTTCAATCATGCTAAACTTGTTCGATTTACACTCTGGTCAATAACGTTTTTTACACAATTGTTTACTTATTTTTAGCGTTTTATTATACCTTTTGATTTCGATACAATCAGTATTCAAATGGAGCAAGTTTTATGAATTGTTCATATCAGCTAATATCAAGTTCCAAAAATGTGTAATTTTACAATTGCAACTAATTTATAGGTTGGGATGAGGGATTTGTAATAATTAATAGTGAGTGAGTGTAATAGTGATCATAATCATTGCGTTCCATTGTAGTCACATTATGGTCATTCTGAAATGAAAAACTAGTTATTTAAGTTGTAGTGGTGCCTCTAAGTACTTGTTTTGCAGAATATTTCTCCAAGTTAAGGAATCCTTTTTCGCGGCTTCCGGTTTGAAACCGAATGGGTCAAGCATCGGTCCAATGAATTATCCTTTATAAGGTGCGCCTAATGGTAAGCAAATATTAATTCATTATTCCATTAATAAAATTAATTTTGCTCTTCATCGGGATTCTTTCCAACTGCAACATGATACTATTATATAAACAATAGATAAAGTTCATTATAATTTATCTCTCAACTACAGAGGGCTTTCAACATAGTACAAATATCTATAAAGACTTCTGGAACAAAACTACTAATGATGGAAAAGGGCCAATATTTTTCTCTTTAAAAACAATTATTCTAAATCATGTTGCATAAACATACAAGAAATCTACACACTACATTTAGGAATGTTTTCCGGGCTTTGAAGCCGTGGTCTATCGGAATTTCTTCCTGACGTTTCGTCCACATCTGCGGTGGACATTTTCAAAGGCGATGAGGCAGTGGGCGAAGTGATCTCCCGTGCTTTCCGACTAAGAATGATTCAACTGCTGGATTCCTAGTCGTATTTATGCAGCCCAGCCGTGTGCGCTCATGCGTGGGGGATGGGTGGGGGTTCCAACGCTTCGGCGCACATGCTGTTTGGCGCAAAACGCGCTTCCAATCTGGATTGAGTGCCGTAATTTCTTCTTTTCTGCTAAAATTGTTTTGGTGTTTAAATATTTCGATGGCCTCCCTGGCGAGTCTCGGGTAGTATCTTTCAAATTGGTGCAGAATGTCAACTTCGACGAAGCGTATTTGGTGGCCGTCTAGCAGTGCGTGCTCCGCTACTGCTGATTTTTCCGTTTGTCCCAATCTGCAACTTCGTTTGTGCTCCGTGATCC